TGATTATTGATTGTGCGGCGGGGCCATTAATCAGCTGACGCAATTGTCTGTCGGCACCAACAAAATTTGTCCCACAGTCGGAATAGACCGTCGTASGCAGGCCGCGTCGAGCGACGAAACGGTCAAAGGCGGCGAGAAAGGCCGAAGTGGACAAATCCGATACGAGTTCTAAGTGGACGGCTTTGACGCTCATACATACGAATACTGCTATATATGCCTTGTACGTCCTAGATTTTCGTAGTTTATTTTCGCGCATAGCTATAGGCCCGGCATAATCAACGCCGACACTGGAAAACGGACGACATTGCGACACCCGTGCTTCTGGTAAATCCGCCATGACCGGCGTGGGGATAGACGCACGGAGGCGCACGCAACGTGTGCATTGACTAACGACGGAATGGATAACGGAACGCAGCGACACAATCCAATATTGCCGGTGTATCAATGAAGTCATTACACGTGGTCCCGAATGACCAGTGACTTTGTGCCAGTGGCGACACACTAACAGCGCGAGGTACGAGCCTTTAGCTAACAAAATTGGATGTCGACAATCGTACGGCAACTCTGAATGACGTAGGCGTCCACCGACGCGGATTATACCTTCGGAGTCGACGAACGGACACAGCCGTGCCAACGGCTTGGAAGCTAAGCGACGTAATTTCTGCAAATCGCTGACTAATGTCGGAAATGTGACACGTTGAGACGCAGCGATTACCGCACGAGTTGCACCGTTGAGCTCCACTCGAGTAAGCGCAGTCGATCTCTCGACGGGACGTCGGCGACAAATATCGATAAAACGGCGCACACGCGCGACCACACGTATAAGTTCGTCGTACGACGAGAAACGCGTGAACCATTCGACTGTAGGTGCGGCAAGACAAACTGCGGGGGCCATGGATTTTACTTCAGGCAATTCCGCAACGGACAAACGCGCGATGTCGCTCCCCCATTCATGTGGAGGGTCTCGGAGAAAGTCGGGCCCTTGCCAATATAACTTGTGGTGCGGCAACTCAGACGGCATCAACCCACGGGACGCACAATCAGCTGGGTTCATCTCCGAGCTGACGTGACGCCATTGACAACTTGGTAACAACGTTTGTACCTGGTGAACACGGTTCGACACATATTGCTTGAACGTGTCGTGGGGCACTGTTAACCATGACAATACAATCGACGAATCCGTCCAGGCACACATGTCAATGATGTCGATGCGCGTATTTAATAATAAAAATATTCGGCTCATCCAGCGCGATAATAATACGGCGGCATTCAGCTCGAGCCTCGGAATCGATAACGGTTTAAGCGGCGCCAATTTGGTCTTGGAACCGACCAACATGACCGACGATGCGCGTGGGGCATCATGGGTGCGCAAAAACACTACCGCGGCATAGCCGCGTTGCGACGCGTCGCAGAATCCATACAACGAACACTGAGCTCCGGCGGTTGTATTTAAATAGCGCGGAACACGCACGTTGGCTAACGCGGGTAGTTCGTCGACGAACTGCGACCAATCTGCGCGGATATCGGTAGGCAAACGCTGGTCCCACGTACACTCGGACTGCCATGTGCGTTGCATAATATGCTTGGCAAGGAAGATGGACGGCGCAAACAAACCTAACGGGTCGAAAAAACGTGCTGTTAATGACAAAATGCCGCGCTTGGTAAATACAATTGCGTCATCTATGCGAGGTTCACAACCGAAATAATCGCCGTCTGTATACCACGACAAACCGAGAACCTTGGTATCAGCGCCCTCATCACCGGCAAACGTTGTCGATTTTACCACCCGGAACTCGTCCGGAACAGCGTGTAGGACGGCGGCGGTGTTGCTGGACCACTTGCGCAACTCGAACCCCGCACCAGCGAGGACGGATATCAATTCCGCCTGAACGCTAAGCGCCTCGACCGCGGTATCGGCACCGTAACAAATGTCGTCGACGTACGTTTGATGACGCAACGCGTCGCATGATCTGGTAGAATTWCGACAATCGACTTCAGCGACCTCTTGCAGTACGCGTAGAGCGAGAAACGGCGCACAATTTACGCCGTACGTTACGGTATTCAACTCGTACTCGACGAGCTCCATATGCGGGGACGGTCGCCACAGAATATGTTGATACGCACGATATTGCGGAAGGACCATAATCTGTCTGTACATTTTACAAATATCGGTCGTAAACGCGTGACGGAACAAACGAAAACACGTTAGCACATCCACGATGTCCCGTTGTAACTTCGGACCCGGGAATAACGATGTATTTAGTGACGATCCATCAGCAACCGAAGCGGACGCGTCGAACACTACGCGGAATTTTTCATCGGCGCCACACACGGCATGATGTGGAATAAAATAACGGCCATGAGTGGACGCCACTGACATGTGTCCTAGTGACAGATATTCCGACATAAAATCGTTATACTTCGTGCGCAGTCGATCGTTCGAGCTTAACTTACGCTCGAGATGCTCGAACCGTTTGATTGCGACCGCCCGGGACCCGGGAAATAACTTATCATTGAATGGCACACGAAACGGCAACGGAACCGAAAAACGGCCGGACTCGTCACGGACAAAATTATCACGGAATACGACTTCGCATTTGCCGGCGTCAGTAAACTTCAACGGGGMTGAGTCGGGCTCTTCGACATGCCAAAAACGGTCGATTAATTGTTCCACGGACGTGAGTAATGACACGGCGGTTGTTTGCGGGGTCGATACATCCGACGGCGACACTGAACCAATAAGGATCCACCCGAAGCATGAACTGAACGCG